TGGTGCGGCCGGCTGCCGGTGTCGCGTGGGCCTGGGCGCACCGTGACCGTCTCCGTCGCCTTCCGCAGCTTCCTCAAGTGCCGCACGGTCCGGGCCTGCCCGTGCGGGCACTCGGAGCTCGCGTCCAGCGGGAGGAGCTCGGGGCTTCTGCGCCACTTGGGGAGAACGTGATGAAGAGGCGTGTGGGCCTTCCCTGTGAGGGAGGGAGAGCAGGGCCATGGCCGAGAGGAAGGCTGGGTCGGCCCTCTTCCCGCAGCGCAGCGGAGCTCCTCTTTTCCCTCCTCAGTTTTGACGTAGTTCCCTTTCGCCTTACTAGGGGGAGGGAGAAGCAAAAGCTCTCTCAGAGCGGCTGTTCATTTTCTGCTTGCTTCTCGGCAGTGTGAGGCAGCCCTGGCAGGCCCAGCGCCTCGGGCCGCTGTCACTCGTGTGCCGGGAGGTTGCGGGGCAGTGTTGCTAATCAACTTGTTGTTTTAAGCCGTTGTCATCACGAATTTGTGTTAAAACCAAAGTAAGTCAGTTCTAGTGCTGCCCCTTGTGGGTCTTTGTTTATATATACATTCAATTACTATGAATATACCAGTAATGCTGAAGATACTGTAGACGCTCATGAACCTAATCTATCTGAAGGACTTATCTGTTCCATTTTAAAATGGAAATAAAGTGTGTAGAATTATATAAGCTTGGCATTTAAAATAGTTATTTTAGGTTTTACAAATTAACCAAGTAAGCATGCATACATTGAGATGACGACCTAACCACTTTTCATGTCTGGTGTGTGGACTTTGCTTGATGTCTGTAACTTTGGGGGCATTTTTAGTATTTTGGCACTTGTACATCAGCTCAAGTTAATTAAACAGAGTTACTTCTTTAGTGTTAGTATTGAACAACGTGATATTCAGAGCCAGTTCACACTTTTGGAGGTTCTGTATCTGAGATGTCCTTAAATGTGGTATGGTGAATTGTAACACAGATTTCATGCAAATGTGTTTCTGAGTTAGACTTCAAACCCCCACCTACATCTTGAAGACCTAACACCAGTTTACAACTCATGGGTAAATTATGGGGTCGGAGCTTTAAAAGACAGTTTGACAAATTTCAAAGGACAGCATCCAAGTCAACTAAATTTTCTTTCATATTATTCACCTAAGGACATAGTTTAATCTGTGCTAAAATTAAATTTAAAATGGCTTTTCGGAGATGCACTTTACATTTTTTTACTATTCTGCACTGTTCTGTGTGTTATTTAGTGGAAAGCATTGACTAATTTGAAAGAAAAATCTGACCAAGTTTTTGGATTTTTTTTGTTATATGTGTTTATATGTATAAAGAAATATATATAGTTTTCTGAGATTTTTCATGGGGTTTTCCCCATTCATTGTAATAGGAATTACTGTTCCTTTGACAGGAATAGTAGTATAAAATGTTACTCGTCCTCTAGAGAGTCTTTTAAGTTCTTGTATTCAAAAGTAGCAGAAAATTGCTGGTGTCTTGCCAACAGTGGAAATGTAAAGAGACTGTATCTTAAGTACACTAAATGGCAGAGCTTTGAGGTCTTGCAAAGCTATGAGATTTAATGTTTCAAACTGTCTTAATTGGACAAAAATCCATAAATAAAACTGTGCCATAAAGATAATTGCGTAATATGAATTGGAAACTGTTTAACAGTATTTTAAAAAAAATCCTAATAATTCCTGTTTCAGATATACAATGAAAAAGAGCTACTCCAAGGAAAACTGGATCTCCTTAGTGATACCAACATGGTGGATTTTGCTATGGATGTATACAAAAATCTTTATTCTGATGAAATTCCACATGGTAAGTTGGTCATTACAAAGCAAAATTTGTTTTACACCTCTTCTGTCTAAAATAGTAAATACTTTGTGGTAGTTTGCATGTTGCATACAGGAACTAAAATAGTGTTTAAGTTTGGCTTTAACAAGACCATGAGCAACACTGAAAGAAATAGATCCTTCTAATCCTGGGAAGTTTGGAACATAGTCTTTAAGTGACATTGAAGTGTTTCAATGCTGATTTGGTCACTTCAGGCACCTTTAATATTTTGAGTACAGCCACTTAGGCAGGTTCCTAAGTATAATTTCATGAGGTCATAGCAGTAAGTTCAATGAATTAGGTCACTGGGAAAGCTCTGCTTTCATATAGTCCAATGATTTCCACCCTTGTAATGTTTTTCTTCCATTTTTTTTTAAACATACGTGGGAAACAGTTCTTCTTCTTCCCCACATAATCTAGCCCCCAAGAATCCCCCTGGCACTGTCTTGTGACAACATCTTTCTAAAATACATCATTGGTTTGACAGGGTTTGTTTATATGTATATCATGACTTGTTGTTTGAGCTGTGGCTTTTAGTTAAGTTATAAAATTGACTTTAGCAGAGGTAGTGCTTTCACATGGAATCAGTTGTTCAGGGTGCTTGCTTGTACAGCTTTCTATGAAAACGTCTTTACTTGTGCTGTGATCTTCCTGGTGTGTGTCATCTTTGTGCATCAGCACTAAGCAGAACATATATACAGACAGGTTCATTTTATTTGTGGAATTGATGGCTTCTTTAGAATTCTATGCCTTTTTTTTTTTTTTTAAGATCTCTCTGTTTCAAGTACTCAAAGCTAAGTTCCCCATCACTGTCATACTTAAAATATCTTTGCACAATTTATAGCTGCTTTTGTCTTGTCTTCACTGAGGTCAACTTATAATTAAACAGCCATGGGAAAACTTGTTTTTACTGTCAGTATATCAAGTGAGTGGTTTTCCTTTCATTTCTTTCTACTTGCTCTATATAATGTCAAGATTCATCTGAAGTTGGAGATAATTTCTCCTTATTGGAACATTTCTTATCAGGCAAGTACTTCTTAGATTTAAACTGGGTCACCGTTATGGTGTTATTCACTTTGGACCTCCTTTACAAATACATATACGTATATAGTCAAAGAAAGAAATGTCTAATAGGTTAATAGGTTCACTGTGGTATTGAGTGTCCTGGTGTGGTTCACTTTCATGGTTTCCTGCATACTTTTCTCCCTTGGGCTTTGATTTTGGCTTCTCTGGTCCCATATGGTTTTTGGCTAATATAGCCAGTCTCAGGGTGCTCCTGTTTTTTCTTTAGTTTGTTGGGGTTTTTTCAGCATATAGACTTTTATTATTTCAAGTGTTCATTTTATTGCACTGATAGCACTTGGTGAGGAAGTTTGGGTCTGTGTAAAATAATCACCCTAAAGCTGTTAGTTCTATTTCCAAATGATTTTTCATACAAAGTTAAATGTTCTAATTAAGTATACATAGTATTCCAAATAATTATTTGACAGCTGGAGCTGATTTAAATTCTTCCTGTTTTTTCAGTTAGTTTTCAGTTAGTTTTCAGTTAAATAGTCTGAAAATGGGCTTTCAGAACCTGGTGAGTTAGAGGAAAACCCATCTTACTGGTGTCTTAGCACTGTTCACTTTTCCAAGTCTATTTTGAATAAGTGAATTTGCTTCAAATGTTATTCCTCCCTTAGAGGAAGTCTGAAGATGTCTTGTTTAACAGACTTTGCTCCAGCTCTACCAGCTGTTTAGTGGGAAGACATGTTCAGATGTGCTGTCAGCATCATGTAGTTACAGGTTGGTTCCTGTAAAAACATAAGGCATTACACTAAAATCTGTTTACTTTGTGTATTTAGCTTTGCGTGAGAAGAGAACAACTGTTGTTGCACAGCTGAAGCAGCTTCAAGCTGAAACTGAACCTATTGTCAAGATGTTTGAGGATCCAGAGACTACAAGGCAAATGCAGTCCACTAGGTAAGTTCTGACATATTTTTGCAGGATGGCTTGTTAGTACCTCTTAGGTGTTGATAGAAATACTTGATGTAGTGACTGTAAAGAAGAACTAAAAACTCCAATTTTTGTTTCAATGAGTATTTCAGTTGTGCATATGGTTGGTTAACAAATTGCTAGACACAATTTACTCTTTCCAGTGCTTATACTTGCTGTTTGTATGGTATATCTTGTTCTTTAGTATTCATGAATCCACTTAGGACAAGTGGCAGTTACCGTTCAGTACTGTCAAATCACGGCCAAGATGGGTTGGGGGGCTTTTTTGCTTAGTTTGTTTTTGAAGGATGGTGTTTGGGGTTTTTTGAGGGGAAAGATGGGTTGAAACAATTCAGATTCTCTTTTCTAGGAGACTGTCTGTCCTCTCCCTTTTCTGCCTTCCACAGAGGATTATGGAGTGCTGTATCTCTCTAGTCTGGGAGGTCTGCTGAATAAGCATTTTAGCCTTGTAGCACATTTTTCTTTCAGGAGTCCTGTGCTTTCCCCTTAGCCTTTTCTACCCCCCACTGATCAACTTGATAGTGTAAGATAGTACTCAATGTAATCTTTTAATACATATCTGATTTTTTTCTCACTTTGCTTGTGGGAATAATTAAAGTAGAATAAGTTTGTTTGCACATTTATCTAGGGACTGAAGGTTTTCTTACAGTTAAGCCTGAATTGAGCCCTGTAAGAAAGGGTTAAGTTGTAGTCCTTGAGGAAGTAACTGCAACTTCTACAGAAGTGTGGGCAGGTATTTGTTTAATGTAAGTTACTGTTCGTTGTCTTTAAATAGGAAGCATTATTATCACTGTTGTAAATGTGTCTAACCAGCTCTGTATAATCAATTACATCCCTTCTTCAGCCTTACCTGCTCTGGGATTTCAAATAGAGCATTCCACATCAGATAAAGTACTTATGGCTCGACTTCAAATCGAAGGTGAAGCCTGTTCTTGGCTTTATTGTTGGCAAGCTTTATGCATCTACTGATTCGTTCTGGAATTTTCTTAGAAAAACATTAAATGCACAGACTGTTGTTTTTTGGTTGTTTTTTTTTTTTGTAGTTTGCAGAAATTTTATTGGTGAAGGTGTACGTACCTTTGTTTGGGAACAACCTTTCTGCAGAAAATAGGTCCTTGAAGGGGGAGGAACATCCTTTTTTCCTTTCCCCTCTTAGCTCAAGTTGCCGAGAAACCTAATTAGCCCTTTTTGCCTGTGTTTTCTCCACTCTGCACATAGTTTTCAGAGTTTAGTCTAATTTAGAACTGGTCATTGCAGAAGTGGTGAGGTGCAATATATTTGGTCTCAATGTGTATAGGAAACAGGATGTCAGTAGAAGTAATGAAAACTATTAGTTTTCCAGCATTACCGAAGAAGCTTCTATTTTCAGTTCTGATATCACTAGAATGTACTTAAGCTTCTGCTGTAAAATGCATTGCTAGGATAAGTAAACCACCTTGATACCTGATTTCTAGCATGGATATTTATGTCAGATAATCATATTAAGAAAAAGAGTTAAGCTTGCTTACAACTTTGGTGGTTGTGCAAAGCAGGAGCCAGTCAAAAGCTTTTGGAAGTGTAACTTGAAAGGTCCAATTGTTGTTAATTAACTGCCTTGTAGTTATTTACTGTACAATTGTAATTGAACTTCTCATCCATATGTGAACATCTGGTTCAATTCTTGCTTTGCCTTTATTCAGTTCTTATAATAGAAAATAGAAAAAAAAAAAAGTTGTAGCAATTTGGAGTACTAGCATTTTGTGGGATATGTGTTCATGACCTTTGATCCACAGAATTTGGTCAGTAGTATATATGCCGAATCAGTAACACCTTGTTTGGAAGCAAGAGTTAGGATCAAAAAATGCATGGACAATAACATGCATAATGCTATGAAATACTAGCCCTACTAATATGCAGCAAGTTTTATTTTGGAACTGGTACAACATTTTTGCTTTTAAAATGGCTCAATGCTTTGCAGCTCAGAAGTGCGGGTTTTGGTTATTGGCTCAACGGAAGTTCTAACCCAGATTGTTGGGTGTATACACTAATGAGGACAGTCAGGCTGGAAGATGTCAACTTGTCTAGACCTGAGTAGTGTCCTTTAGATAGGAAGCAATTTTTGATTCTTTGACTTCTGTGAATTTCTGCTGGTGATGTAGAATCTCTATCAGATTTAGAGCTGCATATTATTAGGGCTTTAGATCATTGCTTTTGATCTGTGACAGTGCTGTTTGGAACATCTAAGTCAGAGGAGTGGTAGACAGTAGTATATAAATAAGACACTGCAAGGGGATTTTCTTTCAAGAATAAGCCAGAACATTTAAATTTCTTTTTTCTATGCTTCTGTTTGAGAACACTGACTTTTAAGTTACAGAGGAATAGAATAGAAAAAATAAAATCTATATTGTAGAAAGGCAGTCCATACAATTGAAGTGCCAAATTGAAAGCAGTTTCGATTTATGAATATAGATATTATATAGAGTATATTAATTCAACTGTGGTTCTTGTTGCCACATAATTGCAGCATAATTTGGATGGAATTCCTATTGCATTGAAAAACTGGTGTGGTAAAATTTAACTCTTAAAATCTGATCAAGACCCATTACGGATACTAGATAAAAAAAAATACTGAGTTAACTATTGTTTAAAAATACCACAAGCATCTACGGTGTTGTGGCCATTGATATGGGACTTAATGGTGGTAGATAATTTTATGGTTGCCTGATACATGCTTAACTTTCCTTTGAATCTAGATAATATGGCCTGTACTTCTACTATCCATGTTAAATTAAAAAAAAAATCCAGAATTGTGATTGTGTGAATCAGATGTTTAGAGTTTACTAATTATGAGTATTGTTTATAGTTGTGCAATCTGCAGGCATTTGCTGTTGTAGAGGTACTGTTGCTAACCACTGTGTCACAGTCATAAAATCATAGAACTATTCAGGCTGGAAAAGACCCTTCGGATCACTGAGTCCAACCATAATCCCTACTCTACAAAGTTCTCCCCTAAACCGTATCCACTAACACCACATCCAAGTGACCCTTAAACACATCCAGGGATGGTGACTCAACCACTTCCCTGGGCAGCCTATTCCAGTGTCTAACCACTCTTTCTGTGAAAAATTCTTTCCTAATGTCCAGCCTAAACCTACTCTGTTGAAACTTGAAGCCATTCCCTCTTGTTCTAGCACTGATTACCTGTGAAAAGACACCAGCACCAACCTCTCTACAGTGTGCTTTCAGGTAGTTGTAGAGACTGATGAGGTCTCCCCTCAGCCTCCTCTTCCTCAAACTAAACATTCCCAGCTCCTTCAAACGTTCTTCATAAGATTTATTCTCTAGACCCTTCACCAGCTTCATTGCCCTCCTCTGTACTCGCTCCAGCACCTTGATACCTCTCTTGAATTGAGGTACCCAAAACTGGACACAACACTCCAGGTGTGGCCTTGCCAGTGCTGAGTACAGGGGGACCATCACTGCTCTGCTTCTGCTGGTCACATTATTTCTAATACAAGCCAGGATGACATTGGCTCTCTTGGCCACCTGGGCACACTGCTGGCTCATATTCAGCCACTTGTCAGTTAGAACCCCCAGACCCTTTTCTGCCAGACAGTTTTCCAACCACACTTCATCAAGCCTATAGCATTGCCTGGGGTTGTTGTGGCCTAAGTGCAGAACCCGGCACTTGGCCTTGTTGAAGCCCAGACCATTGACACTAGCCCAGTGATCTAATCTATCCAAGTCTCTCTGTAGACCCTTCCTATCCTCATGCAGATCAGCACTCCTGCCTAACTTGGTGTCATCTGCAAACTTACTGATGATACACTCTGTGTCCTTATCAAGATCGTCAATAAAGATGTTAAACAGAAATGGTCCCAACTGTGTGACTGGCCCCAGCTGGATCTGACTCCATTGACCACCACTCTTTGGGCCCAACTGTCCAGCCAGTGCTTGATCCAATCCTAACAGTGGAATGTTTCCTTTCTAATTCTATTTTACTTTAGTATTTAACAGGAGATAACAAAGTGCTTAGCTAGAGTTACTGTATGAATTAGAATGTAGGACTGGGAGAAGCTCTTAGTCAGAATTGGACTTTCATACTGAAAGTTTAGGACGCCATGAAACTTAAAACAACCTCCAACCCTTATCTCTAGTTGTTGCAGGTGGTGTTCTTTCTTTATATATTAATTTAAAGGTTTTGAAACTCCTTAATGATATTTTAGGAATAGTTGGCTCACTATTTCTGCAGTTGTTTTTGCACAACAAGTGGAGGGAGTATAACTTCTAATTTATACTCTATTTGGTTATTTTGCTATTAACAACTAAAGGTTCTGTTACATGGTGACAGTTTCTTTTGTGAAAACTGCAGTTTTAATCTTTTTGTTACAGGGATGGTCGGATGCTGTTTGACTATTTAGCCGAGAAGCATGGTGTAAGTTTTAATTCTTGTATCTGTTTGAATTATGTTCTAAATACCTCAAATCAACCTTCCCTGCAGGCAACAGCTATGAGCAATTATGGAATAGCATTTTGGCCTGTTTCATGCCAATGTACTTAATAGGCAGAAGTCCTAATGCTAACATGATTAACTTGAATGCCTTTGAACTTTTATTTTTTACTAAAAAAAAATAACACTGGAGCTTAAAGTTAGCTGCATCCTTGTAACTAACGTGCTTTACTTTGTAATACAAAATTCCACCTTTTTTCTAATATTAGTATAATCTTTAATTCAGTGGCATGGATTAAGAGTATATTAGTTGACTATATTTTTTCCTGCCTAGTCTCTTTTGAAGTACATAGTCTTTGAAGGTTACTTTACTATTAAACTATTGTAGCAGCATTTTTCCTAGTAAATAAATGCTATTTGTGTTCTTTTTCAGTTCAGGCAGGAGTACCTAGATACACTCTACAGGTATGCAAAATTCCAATATGAATGTGGTAATTACTCGGGAGCTGCAGAATATCTCTACTTCTTTAGAGTTCTGGTAAGTTTTGGGGGTTTTGCAGATTTTGGGGGTTTTTGTTGGTGTTTTTTGTTTGGTTTGGTTTTTGGTGGGTTTTTTGTTTTGTTGTTTTTTTTTCTAATCCCACCTAAAAATGTCTTAAACTTTCTGAAATACTGCTAGTAAGTAGCAGTAATTCCATGGTTAAAGAAAAAAAAATTGGGAAATACATCTTCAATCAGAATATGATTTAAAGTAGTAATGAATTGAACTGTTCATCTAACTGTTGCTGGTAAGAATGAGTTCTTCCATATGGTCTTCAGTGTTATAGGTATGTTCCACAAGCTGAAAGAGAGACTAAGTTACTTATGTAGGTTTGTGGGTATCTTAATTCTTCATGCTTTAAGTCTGGGCTTAACAATATGTTATTATATGTCAAATAACTAATTTGAAAAAAATGAACTATTGTTCTTGTGCTAGTAGTAACTTGGTATGGGACTTTAGTTACTAATTCTGATAGGAAAAGATTTGTTAAAAGTTCTGTGTGATGAAACATAACCTATGAAAGAACTATTGTCACTGATCTGAGAACAGAATTTGACACTGTGAATGACCTAGTGTAATTCATTCCTGCATAAAACTAACACAGCCTGACCTCAGGACTACCCTTCCAGGAAATGGATGTACTACTGCAAAGTTGCAGTGTTTTACCGAGTATTTCTGAAAGAAGCATGCTTTTTGGCACAGCATTAACTGAAAAAACCTTGAGTGCTAGCTTTTTTAAGGTGGTTACCTACTATAATTGGTTCTTTAGGAACCTGCATTTGCGCTAACTGTGTTATAGTACCTCAGAAGCATTTTTATTACCTGGTTATCTCATTGGATGCTCATGCATGTTTTTGTTTTTAACTTAAAAGTGCAGCAGCATGAAGTTTTGTCTTTGACAAGATTTTCTAGTTTCTATGCTAGGAGCTTTAGTGCTGTTTTTTCTTCTATACCTAGATTGCTTTTTTGAAGTACTTCATTTGGTAATCTAGGACCATGCAAATTTGTTATGTTGTAAATTCCAAAATACTGCAAAAATATTTTTCTTACTTGTCATTAATAATAATTTAAGAAAACAAAACCAAAACACTAAGAAAATTATTTTGTTGCTGTTGTTGAGAACAGGTTCCAGCAACAGACAGAAATGCTTTGAGTTCTCTGTGGGGAAAACTGGCATCTGAAATTCTGATGCAGAATTGGGATGCAGCCATGGAAGATCTCACAAGACTGAAGGAGACAATAGATAATAATGTAAGTAAAATCTTGGTCATGCTTGTAAGGTGAGGGGTTAGAGGTGTTCATATTCAAGTTTTATCAATTATTTGCAGTCTTGTTTAGAAGTAGTTTGCCATCTTTTCACTAGATACTTTCTTAATAGGGGGAATGTTAAAGGGTGCTCATGAAGAAATAAAAGCTTCCTTTTCAAGTCATTTGCTTCTTACCACATGTAAAAATGTTGCTCAGAACTTTTAAGGTATTACCAACAAACAAAAAATTAAACTAGTCACAAGGGTGAGTTAGAGAGCAAGGTATCATTATATGAAACTGTTTGCTGCTTAAATTTTTCTACATGTAACTGGACTGTACTCTGCTTACATCAAAGTTACACTTTAGACAAAAAATGCAAGGCAGCTTGTTTTTGGAAATTAGTTTCCAACCAATTCCACTTCCTCACCAGT